GCGACCACTCCCCTTGGACACCCAGCTCCCCTCCCCTCTTATTCAGAGTTACCATGATAAATATGGTATAATTGTAGGCTTTCTTAAAAATGCTTGAGATCCTGTGATGGAAGCCACTAATATATGAGAATACAATTGTACTAGAACAGTATACAAGCCAAATCATGATGATCTGAATGTTGGGTGACAACATAGTGAGACATGTATATGTCCTATTAGCAGCCTTGAAAAACATGCTAATATGGTTTTAACTTTACTAACATCTTGATGATGTAATTTAACGTCTTGATATTATGACAGCTCACAAGAGGCCTGATATTAGTTGATACTTTAAAATGTCTCCTCATTTTTCTTAACATGCATATTTCCTTAATGAAGCAAAAACTAATTATAAATGGTAAGCCTACATGAAAGACTGGTTATGATTCTTAAGGAAAACTAAAATGTCTGATACATAGACATATCTGTAATCAGCTGGTACTGATGTAGTCTGTTTTCATATTTCAGGGCCAGAAAGTAAATGAAGCTGCTTGTGACATTGCACGGGAAGTATCCCAAGAAGGAGATGCTTTGGTGGCAGGAGGAGTCAGTCAGACACCATCATACCTCAGCTGCAAGGATAAAGCAGAAGTTAAAGCAATTTTCCAAAAGCAGCTAGAGGTCTTTGTTGAAAAGAATGTGGACTTCTTAATTGCAGAGGTAAATTCAACATTTCTATAGTGTCAGTGGAATGCCTTCAGTTCATATAATATAATTTCCTCTTTTAAAAATAAGTACTATGTTTTGAACTCTTACAGTCGGGTGTATTCCTAAATATACAGAAATGTCTGCTGGTGCCCTAGAGTGGAAATGAACTCCTTGGCTACACATCTTTATTTCAGCTGAGGTAAACCACAGGAATAAAGAAGGTGGATGAAGGTGGCTCTGCCTCACCTTTGAATCTCTTCCCAACAACTGGCCTAAATCAGGACTTGTCTGTTCATTAAGTTTATTCCAGAAGAGTTTTTCCTTAGTACTTCCCTCTATGCCTGCATTATTCTGTAAAAAGAGTACTTTAATTTAGACTATTTTAATCTGCTTTACATTCCATTCAACTTCACAGTTGTATAATTACTGAGGTGAAGGGAGGTACTTCAGAGCAAGTGAGAAGAGATTCAAGTCCTTGACTTTGTGGTAGGGATAGAGATTAAAGCATATACCAAGGGTGGGCAATTATTTTGGGTAGAGGGCTGCTTAATGAGGTTTGGTGAGCTGTTGAGGGTAGCCCTGCCCCGTGACAGTTGCCCTGTCCCTCGGTTGCCATTTTGGGACCGGAAGTCCTAGCCCCTGACCTTTGCCACCCAAAGTGTTCCCCCTCCCCGCCCCCTCCTACTCCTTTGGCAGGGGTTGTCATCTTACAACCAGAAAAAAGCAACTCATA